CCTCCCCCTACCCCCATCCCCTGCACCTGGACGGGGGCTGTCGCGAGGGGTTGGAGCGTCTAAGATGGCTCAAGGCGGCTCCACAAGCGACGTTCAGAGCCCAAGATGACCTCCAAGATGGCTCAAGATAGCCTAAGACGCGTCAGCATGGTTCCGAAGGTGCTCCAAGAGGCCCCAAGGCCGCCCCAAAACGAATCCAAGAGGCCAAGTATCTAGAAGCCAACATGCATCAACAACATATGGGTAACAATGATTTTTGCATCCTCGCCTTTTCGCTTCCGATGGCCATCCAAGGCCTCAAGATGGCTCCAAGAGGGCCCCATCAGGGGCTCAAGAGTGCCCCAAGACGGCGCCAAGAGTGCCCAAGAGCGCCCCAAGAAGGGTCCAAGATGCGATTCTGGGGACTCCCGAGGAGGGGTCGCAACTAAGGACCCCCCCTTCGTTGATCGATCGCCTCCAAGATGCCCCTAAGAGGCGCCCAGGAGACCCCCAAGATGGCCCCGAGACGCCTCCAAGAGGCCCCAGGAGGCCGCCATGAGGCCCCCAGGAGGGCTCAACTGACCCCCAAGAAGCCTCCGAGAAACCCCAAGAGGCCGCTATGAGGCCCGCCCTCGTCCTCCTCCTTCTGCTCCACCTTCTCATCCTACTCCTCCTACTCCTTCTTCTCCTGCACCTTCTCATCCTACTCATCCTGAACCGAGGGGCCCGAACGACTCGCCTCCGACCGAGAACCGAGGGGTCCAAAGTCGGATGTTCGACCCGGTCGAACATTGCCCTGGAGGCCCGAAATCGGTTGTTCGACCTAACCGAACATGGCCGTGGGGGCCCACGGTGGCCCACAATCCGATGTTCGACCCGATCGAACACCCATGAGCCCAAAACTTGATGTTCGACCCAGTCGAACATGGCCCTTGGGCCCAAAATCTGATGTTCGACCCAACCGAACATGGCCCTGGGGGGCCATAGTGGCCCACAATCGGATGTTCGACTCGATCGAACATAGGTTAGTTGACCGAGAATGCAATGTCCTCCCCACTTCCCTCATCCCTGGACCTCCCTCTCCTCCCTCTTCTATCTGCCGTATCGTCCTCCGCCGCCTCCTCCTCCTCCTCCTCCTCCTCCTCCTCCTCCCCCTCCTCCTCCTCCTCCTCCTCCTCCTCCTCCTCCTCCTCCTCCTCCTCCTCCTAGCCCCCATCGTTGCTCAAGAATTTACCACGTGGCTGTGCGGATGCACGATGCAATTCGTGATGAAGTTCATGGGACATGTGATGCGCATTTAAATTTTTCCGTTCACCAGCTCGGCTCATCCGAACTCAGCCTGCTCGACAAGGTCGACCTCTGCTTGGGTCGGGTTGAAACTAATGTGGGCCTCTTGGCTCGCGTAACGATGAGCAGCCTGCCCCCATGCCAACAACCATGCTTTGCATCTCTGCATGTTTGGGAAATTCTTCAAGAACGCATAACGCCTGCATTTCACGTGGCCAGGTGCGCGACATCCTTCAAGGAATGCCCTACGATTGCCACTGCTGTGAGTCCAGTTGTCAAAACACACCTTCAAATGCGAATGCGCTGGGTCTCTACAAGAGTAGGGCTGCACTCGCAAATCATCCAGGGTCAGTGGCAGCGGCCGCTGCTGGCGAACGACGCGAGGGGTGACCGAATCGCCTAGATCGCTGGACTCGTCGGCGTCTTCAATCGCCAACTCCGCTTTCCGTTTCCGGGTCGTCTTGTCAAGCAACGCCTTGAAGTCGTTGTCCGCCATGATTGAGAGCTCGGCTGCGCTCTTGCCAGCCAGTGCGCTCAAGTTATCCAGCTCCAACAAAGCTCTGTAATAGACATCGTGGCCACCATGTAAAATGAACTGTAATTCTCCAGGCTTATTGAAAATGGATTCCCTCAGACAAAGGGCGTGCAAATACGTTGTCACCCTGAACGGCGCTTCCGCGTGGAACATCAAATTGGGGCCCTCGCGGTCCAACTGTTCAACGTGACCGACTGCTCGCGTAAAGCTTGACCGCATCAGATAGCCCACGGCTTCAAGTTTTGTTAATGCTGTGCACGGGGTGTCCCTGTTATAATTCTTTACCAATAGTGGGCTGCTCAGACCCGATGACACCCGCAATCTCAAGCACTTCGTGGCGATGGCGAACGTCCGTTCCCCGAACTCCTCCTGGCACGCCAGAACACCCGCGGACACCAACCAGTTGAGAGTGTTGACGTGGCAATGATCGATATCGATTTGCGGTTCGTATTTCCCATGGACTGCCAATGATCGCCTATTCAGCATGCCCTCGATCACCGATCTCGCTTCCAGTGGAATACGCTGGTGAAATCGCACCACATCACTGGGGGAACCTTCGAAGGGAACGATCGCGGCCTCCTCGCCCATGCCACCTGCAGGCACCTCGTGATCCCCAACTTCGCCCGGATCGCCGAGGCCAATAGGTAAAACCAAAGGCTGTCGCACATGATGCGGAAGCGTTGGTACTGTCCGTGGGATCACATCGAACGCAACATCGTGCTTACTGAACGGCCAAACGTACAAGGCATCCGTGACGCTATGAAATCGAAGCCCGCATACTTGCAACAAGTCCAGATCGGCGACCTGATCCGTCTGCACCACATTGAACTCAGCATCTGACTCTCTGGTCACGGTCGCGAGGAGAACACGGACCATAGAACGTGTGCGTGGAACGCATGGAGATTGAACTTGGTACTTGCGTTCGGGGTATGCATCAACTACTTGGAAAAACTGCAAGTGGGCCATCGGCGATGGAGCTACGAATGCAATGGGCGCGACCACTTCCACCAAATAATCTGACCTGACGTTCTCTGGGATGTACCCGTCCGTTCTCATCATCTGAAACATTTCTGAGGGCAAGCTGAAGGTTGCAGTCTGGATGCTGAGTACGCTCTTGAAGTACTTTATGATAAGGTTGCTGCTTTCGGTGATCAGTTGGACAGGCGCTGTCTGAAGGGCTTTCCGGTACTTCACCATCTGCCCGACCTCTTTTTGGGCAGCCTCGAGGGGAGCCTTCGAGAATGACTCCTCGTACTTGTACACCATTGACAGCCTCTGTGGATAAGATAGGTTGTGTATCTCATCATGTGGCACCATGTGTTCCAGCAGCTGTTGCCACATCTCTATTGGATGATGCCACATGCCCACGAAATACGCCAACTCGCGATCATCTTGCAGGGCCTGACCAATCTGAACATGTCGTTGGTGGGCGCAGCCGAGCGCAGGTTTGCAACGTCGGAGGCCGCGCTGGGTTGCCCACTTCGTCTTCGAATGTTCGCCCTCGACTTTGCGAGCCACTGTCGATGCAAAGGCCCGCTCTTGCACTGAGACGAAGGCTTCCGGGCAAAGAGCCAGAGACGATCGGCCATTTGCGCATTCCCAAAGCTGCATAGACACAATGCTCTTCCTGGAAAAGTAATACTCACACACTGGGTCGTGCTGCGCCACGGCCTCGTTCGCCCTGTACTCGGCGAAACTCTCCAACAACTTGCCCTGGCAACTCTCGAGAGAATACCCGCAGGACTGCCCGAATATCGCACACACGCTATGTGGTATATGCTCCAAGTAGGCAGCTTTGTCTGCGATGGTGGACGCCAACCTGCGTTTAATCCGGCTTTCGGCACTCAGAACCCTGGCCTGGATGCCCGGCTCAAGTGTCAGCAGGCAAGCGTTGTAGCGCTCAGACGCGGCGTTCATGATCCTCTCGGCGTGAGCCCGAGCGCCGCCGAGCGCGAACGAGACGATCTTTTTGCCATTCCAAGGGCATGTTCCAGCCAGCGCAACTGACACGGCGAGCGCTGTTATTCAGACAGTACCCCTGGTTCGTGTTTCCATCATCCTCCTCTTCCTGCTCCTGCCCCTACTCCTGCTCCTCATCCATCCTCGTGCCCCCGCCGCCCCCACCACCCCTCAAGGGATGAGGAAAGGAGGAGGAAAGGAGGAGGAAAGGAGGAGGAAGGGAGGTGGAAGGAAGGGAGGAAAGGAGGAGGAAGAGAGGAGGAATGAAGGAAGGGAGGAGGAAGGAAGGGAGGAAGGGAGGAGGGATGAGGAGTGAAAGCCGCTGAGAGCGCGTCCGAGTCGAACACGCCTCAGGATGGAAGAGCACCCTGAGGGGGCCATGAAGCGGCACGGGGCTGCGAAAACCGCACCCCCCCATCAATTCTGTGGAAAGCCCCGAACACTGTGATTATACAGAGTTCGTGGGGGTGTGCTTTGGGGGCGCCCGAGCCACCCCAACGGGCCGCGAAGCTTCTGAAATGTGAAACCTGGAAGCAGGCGAGGGCCAGGAGAGGAGGAGGAAGGGAGGAGGAAGGAAGGGAGGAGGAAGGAAGGAGGGGGGAAGGGAGGAGGGAGGGAGGAAGAAGGGTAGAGGAAATGAGGAGGAACGAAGGAGGAGGGGAGGAGGGAGGGAGGATGGGAGGAGGAAGGCATGCAGCAGAGGGCAGGAGGAAGGGAGGAGGAAGGAAGGAGGAAGGGAGGAGGAAGGGAGGAGGAGGGGAGTAGGAGGGGAGGAGGAAGGGAGGAGGAAGGAAGGAGGAAGGGAGGAGGAAGGAAGGGAGGAGGAATGGAGGAGGAAGGGAAGAGGAAAGAAGGGAGGAGGAAGAGAGGAGGAAGGGAGGAGGAAAGGAGGAGGAAGGAAGGGAGGAGGAACGGCGGAGGAAGGGAGGAGGAAGGCATGCAGCAGAGGAAGTGATGAGGAAGGGAGGAGGAAGGGAGGAGGAGGATCGGCGAGGAAAGCCATAACAAGAAACAGAGAGAGAGAGAGAAAGAGACCCCCCCCCCTGGGCCAACAACGACTTGGCCATACTGGGCCGAACTAGTGAGCTCCTATCAATCTGTTTAACAACGCTCGAGCCTGCTTGAAGGCGCGCTCGTCGTTGCTTGGCCGTGAGCCCCTTCGGGGAGGACAACCTCATGGCAATAACATCCCTCGGCCGATCTCATCGCAATGCCAGCAACGCGAGAAAGTAAAGCCAGCATCTCTGTGAAGGGGCCGAACTCATCCATCTCCGTCGTTGCCTTGACCACCTTTTTGACCAAAGACGGGCTGTCCGGCAGAAGGCGTGGCGAGAAACGTCGCTTGAACTCTTCCCATATACCTGGGATCGGACGCCCTGCGCAACAAGACCGCCTGCGCCCCCCTGAGCCGACCGCCGACCCCCCTCGTCGCCGAAGCCCCATCGGAAGCGAATGTGACAAGCTGGATCGGGGCGCACCCTGGGAAAAGTGACATCATGGGGGGCGCGTGTCTTGAGCTGCAGGGCGCCCGAGCACCTGTGAGCTCATCAGTTGCACACTCCAAATACTCCCAACGCCAATCGACGTGATCAGAAGAGAAATTGTGCAGCAACATCCGGGCGTAGGGGCTCGCGTCGGCGAAAGCGTCATTCAATAAAACTTGCTTGTAAGACTTGTCACCTAATATTTTGCAGCATGCCTTGAGGCACGGCTCATACTCTGCCCAGAATGGCTCGTTCTCGATTGACTCTTGCAAGGCATTCATGACAATGTGGCACCAGTCAGACGTCTCAATGCAGTTCGGCCAGTGAGCAATGTTATTGTGCACGTCCTCGATACTTGTATCGCCAGCGCTGAGCCTGGCGAACTGCTCGGCAACCTGGCCTGCCACGTGACCGATAGGAGCCGACGCCACGCCACGCTCCGCACTGCCTTGATCCCTACAATAGCCTTTGACACACATGCGAAATTGGGCCATGTTCTTGACGCCAGCCTCTAGCATGCACGCGTGGTGAACTCGAAGCAGTTTTCCACCGACAGTGCCATGCTTCCTTGGGATTGTTGTCAGAGGTTTCGTTCTCCGCTCATAGGCAAACCCCGAAAATGGATCAGCAGGCACGATAATGCTGTCCCTCTTCATCAATTCTTCGGTAACGGCAAGCCAGTCGTAATTATGTTGGGGGCTGGAGTCTGCAGACATGAATATCGCAAGGTTCGGTGAGTGTGAAAAGATACGTCTTCTAGACAGCGTGTGTAGCAAATCCAGTTTTATAACATCTCTGCGAAGCTGTTCTTTACCTGGATATTTCTTCGTGTCTACACGCCCATGCATGCTTGCGACAATTGAACAAATCTTTGGGACGTCATCGTAACTGCGGAGTTCCATAGCGAGCTGGGCAGCCTTAATGCGAAACATCGGCGGCCAGTCCTCCTTCGAACAACCAGCGTCATTTTTCCAACCAGCACCTCGCTGTGTCCAGTCCTCGAAGGTCCGCTTGCGCGGCACGTCCTCCACTGCTGGGGGATCCACGTGAACCACGTCGACGTTGGCAAATTGCACATACGACAGTGGAATCGCAATAGGACCACTGACAATGAACTGCGTCAGCTTTTTCGGCAACCACATCACAGAAAAATCTCATGGCAGAGGCATGTCAGCAATCGTTCTACATTGACGTTTCAAGTATTCCGCCCCCGTCTGAGACACTCGATTGATGTAGGTGTGGGGGCCAATCATATGCGTGCCCTCAATGGGAATGGACATACCGAAATGCCAACAATGATCCGCGTGTAAAGTAACGAAGCCATCTTCGAGTCTACCTTTTCGACCATGCGTTCTCCGGGTCATAACGGGATCGTCCAGCCAACACCGCTTTTGTTCGTCATTGGGAGCCTCGTCAGTGATGCGGCCGACAACAAAACCACCTGTGACATACGACGCGCCTTCATCGTTGTACCTAGCCAAAATTGCAAGTGGGAGGTCCAGCTGCTTTGGCATGGTTTGAACCTGTTTGAGACTAAATGGCTACTGATCAAACAACAATCACAGGTTCTCGAACTATTGTGAACGCCATCCCCTGCTTCATCTTTCCTTGCTGGGATGATCGCGATCACACCTGCGCCCTGCCCCCAAGACCTCCCCAAGACGGCCCCAGAGGCCTCCGAGACGGCCCCAAGGCGGCCCAAGAGGGCTCCAAGACGGCCCAAGAGGCCTCCAAGATGGCCCAAGAGACCCCCAAGACGGCTCCGAGAGGGGGCCCAGAAGGGGAACCCGAACGGACATATCGAACCCTCGGTCCCAGGAAGCCCCTGAGACGCCCCAAGAAGCCCCCGAAAGAAGCCCCCAAGAAACCCAAAAGAGGTCGCATGAAACCCCAAAATGCCCCCCCCCCCCCCCCCCCCCCCCCCCCCCCCCCCCCCCCCCACACTTCAAAATTGTTTCCAAGAGGCCTCCGAGAGACATGCCACGAGATCCCAACGAACACTCAAGAGCCCTCTGAACCACAATCCAAGCATGGTGGCGGGATGGGCCGAAGGCCTATACATACATATGTATGCAATGAGTGTTGTAGTTGCCGTAGCCGTTGCTACGCAAGGGCTACAGAGTACCCAAGCAACACCACATGTCGTAAGAAGTCGGAATAAGCCTAGAGAAAACCCTGGGAGCCCTACGGAATCCTGTGGACTCCCCCCCGCTCCCCTTGAAACACGCACACACACGCGCGCACGCGCGCACGCAGTCACGCACGCACGCACGCACGCACGCACGCACGCACGCACGCACACGCGAACACACGCACACACGAACACACACACACAAACAACGAAATACGCAAATACACAACACAACGAACCAACAAGCACAATAATCGACACATGCACTTTTATCCGCAAGCGCGCGCAGCGACGTGCCGTCTAAAGACCCAGCCAGAACGACTTGCGCCGACCGACACGCACGCGCACACACACACACACACACACACACACGCACGCACGCACACACACATGCACATCCAAGGAATCCACAGGGACCCCGATCACTGGGGGCCCAAAGGGAATCCTGAATTACTTTGAAGAGTTTTAAGACTACAAGGGAATCCGAACAACATCAGAAGAATCCTCGGGAATCCTTCGCGCGCGGTGGCGGTGCGAGGGCACTGCAACGCGATTTGGTTATGCGATATTACTTCATGGGGCTATCAAGGGCTGGCCGTGCGCGTTTATAGAATGTTTCGGCGCCAGCTTTCGCGCGGAGATACCGCCCCCCCTCCCCGACGCAAAATCATCAAACCCGCCGTGAAAATCGCGCCAGACGCGCGCGCGAATTTCGTGCAGGAAAGTCAATGCCCCTGTAGCTGCTGGGCTCCTCCTTCGTCGATAGACGTCGCAAGTTTGCGCGATCGTTTGCGCGCTCGCCTCTTCGCGCGGGGTGGCGACGCGATAGAGTTGCGAGGAATTGCCTGGGGGCGCGCTGACCGTGGAGCGCAGCGCGCGATGAATGAGACATCGACGCGACAGCGCCGCCCGCCAAGGATGCGAAGGGCCTCCGCAGTCGAGCGCGGCGACAGGCTGGACGCGGCGCGCGAGCACAGATTCGCATAGTGCTTCAAAGCGTGTTTTTTTTTTTTTTTTTGTTTTTTTTTTTTTTTTTTTTTTTTTTTTTTTTTTTTTTTTTTTTTTTTTTTTTTTTTTTTTTCGGGAGGTCAGGGCGCTCTGCTATGGATCTGGGGCATGCACGCTGAGAGAATCTTGGATTCTGAGTTTTCTGGAAGGGGGGTGGCCGCGGTAGTTGGGATCATAGGTCCAAGTGCAAAAGTTTTTCGAGCCGCGTCCGACCGCGGCGACGAGGGGGGGCCCAGGGCCAGGAAGCCTCGAACCTCGATCCGCGAGAGTCGAACTTCGAACCTCGGCGTGCATCCCGTTTTCAAAATCAACGAAATCCGCGCAAAATCGGTCCCCAGAACCTCCCTGGGGTGCCTCCGACGCAGTGTTTTGGTCCCGGATCGATTTTGCGACCGTCCCAGGGCCGAAAGCTTCCTCGAACCTCGATGCCCGCTGTCTTCCCCGCCCGTTGGCTCGCGGTGCCCCGGCACCGCATTGCCCCCACGGCAACCCTCCGTGCGGGCCGAGCGCCCGAGCGTCGTGTCGCCCTCTGGGGGTGGCACGACGCTCGGGCGTCGTCGTCGTCATCGTCGTCGTCGTCGTCGTCGTCGTCGTCGTCGCCGCCGCCGTCGTCGTCGTCGTCGTCGTCGTCGTCGTCGCGTCGAGCGGGCCAGCGGGGCGACGAGGCCTCGTCGCACCGCGAACAAGAGGTTCGGCCGTTTTCGGCCTCCGGGGGCCCTCAGAGGGCCCCAGGGCCGTGACCCAAAAACGACTTGGAAGGAAGAGCACCTCGCCGCGCCGCGAACGAAAATCACGACGGGAGGTTTTCAGCCGCTTTCGGATTCCGAAGGCTCCTTACAGGGCCTTGGGACCGTCAGTACAACCGGCTGTGACGGAAACCCCCTCCCCCGCGGGTTCCTGGGAGGGGGTGGCCGGGGGTGGCGGCAACGCGACCCCTGAGGATCCGAGACGGCCCGCGAGAACCCCAAAGTGGCTCGGGCTCGGAATGGATGCTCAGGACGGACGAGGAGGGAAGCGGGGCGGAGGATAAGGAGGACAAGAGGGGAGGAAGGAGCAGAAGGTGGAGGAAGAGAAGGAGCGGGAGATTGAAGAAAGCGGGGAGGAAAGGGAGGATGAGGAGGAGCAGGGATCTTCTTCGAGGAGGCGGCGTCGAGCAGGAGGAGGAGGAGGAGGGAGGGAGGAGGACGGGAATATATAGAACGGTTAAGAGGAGGAGGAGGAGGAGGAGGACGAGGAGGAGGAGGAGGACAAAGACGACGACTACGAGGGGGGACCCAAAGCTGACGGTTGATGATGATGATGATGGTGACGATGCGGACGATGATGACGATGACGACGGCGACGACGACGATGATGATGATGGTGATGATGATGTCCACGTGCCCAGCTAAATTTAAAGCGGGTGCAAAGTGCGCGTACTTCTGACATATCTTCAAAAACTGATGTATAATAGGCTCCGGCTTACATGTGTACATATACACACATATGTACAAACGTATTTCTATGCATGTACACACATACATATACGTACGTAAAAACGTGGGCAGACCCGTCCGTTCAAGTACACACATACACATACATGCACTGCCATGGACAAAGTCTGCCAACCCGCGCGCGCACGCACACATATGTGTAACCATACCACAACACTCATACAGTAGGTTCGCGTCGTGTCGACCGGCGGCGACCCCGCCGCCGGCGTTCAACGTTGAGCGCCGCCGGCAGCCCAGAATCGCTCGACGTTGAACGATCTGTCGTTGGGGGAACCGCCGATCGTTCAAGGTTGAACGATCCACGCGGCGTCGGCAACCAACGCCGGGGTCGACGCGACGCGGGCATGACGTATACATCTAAGTGTGTGCGCGCACGCATTCGCACATTCATTCACGCATACATTCGAAAACACATATTCATTCACATGCATCCACATGCGCTTACGCGCATACAACTATGCATACTTGTATGTATATGCGAGTGTAGGCATTCACACAAACACACGCTTGCACACATAAACCAAATAGAGTCTTATATACATCCGTATCCACAAGTGCCGCACGGCCGAGAAGGCTCAGCATGTTTTATATAGGCGAGTGGGCGAACCCACTCCCATATGTGAAACATATCAGAAATCCAGCCGCGGAGGCTTTCTGTACTGCTCACATAGGCGAGTGGGCCGGCCTACTCCCCTATGTGAACCATACCAGGAATCCTCCTGCGGAGGCTGTCTGTACTGGTCACATAAGCGAGCGGGCCAGCCCACTCCCCCATGTGAGCCATGCCGGAAATCCGGCCGCGGAGGTTTTCCGGTTCTGGTTACATTGGCGAGTGGGCTGGCCCCCCCCCTATGTGAACCATACCAGAAATCCGGCCGCGCAGGCT